GCTCCTACGCCTGGACTCGAAAAGCATGTGGAAGTTTCCGAAAATTAGGGGTACCGTATTTGGGGTCCTTGAAATAAGGATCCTACTAATTAGGGTACTATATTAGGGTTTTAGGGTTTAGGGTTTCTTATTTTGGGGTCCTTATAATAAGGATCCTACTATTCAAGGTACTATATTAGGGTCCCCTATTTTCGGAAACCTACATGTGGAAGACCACTCAAATCCCCAACTAACGGCCGGAGACACCGACGCTCAAGAAACCCTACCCCTTCAGCCCGCCCATCCCCCATCCTCCCCATCGAAGGCGTCTCCAAGAAAACCCAAACCTCATATAGTCCCCTAAACGCCAAGACGCCCAAGCCCAGAAACCTAAAGCCCCTCAACCCCGAAGCTTCAAGCAGCTAGACTCCCTATATACCCTTGAAGGCCAAAATAAAACCTAAAACCCGCCCCAAACCCTTAGGGAGTTTAGGGGTTTAGGGTTTAGGGGTTTATTGTTTAGGAAACCCCCCCTTCCCCTCCAAACCCCCTTCAAAACCCCCCCCCCACCTCTGCCCTTGAATTCAAAGAGGCGACCTTGGAAGGGACGAAGGCCATGGATCTCGTGGACTCGGCCAGCTTGAAAAGCGCCGGTTCCCTCCAGGAGGTCGCTTTGGGGGTTTAGGGGTTTAGGGGTTCTGTGTTCTTCTTTTTTTTGGTGTAGTTGGGTTTGCGGTTTAGGGTATGGGCTTGGTTATGTTTGTCTATTTGGGCATTTGTTTGTTGAGTGTTCTGTTTTGTTTGCGGGCGTTTGCTTACTGGAATGGGTCTTATCGCAGGGCTTAAGGTGTTGTGGTTAGTTCTGACCTGTAAATATCATCGCTTGCCGCTTTTGTGTAGCTTTTGTGTAGAGGCCGCCGGGGGATCTATAGAATTTTCAGCGCGGCGGGTGGAAAGGTGCTAGAAGGATTTCCCGGGGTTCTATGCCGGGTCCCGAAAGGTTCAAGTGTTCAATTGCTATATGGGGTAGTTGTCTAAGTTAGGGTCCCTTTTTAGGCCCCCAAAATACTACGACACCCTTTAAGCAAAGAGCCCTAAAAGGGACCCTAATGTAGAGAGCTACCCCAAATATACGTCGGCCCTGGGTTTTGATTGTTGGGGTCTAGGCTTTGGGGCTGAGGGTATTGATGGGCCCACAACCTTAGACCTTATAGCGTGTTTCTGTAAGACCTAGGGTCGTTTTGCTGGGATTCTATCGGTTCTTTGCTGTTAAAAACCCTAAACCCCTAAACCCTAAACCCAAGAGAAGGAGGCATTTGCGCTTAAGGGTCGGGTCTTTGGATGATCCTGGGGCCGGGTCTGCGGATGCGAGTGTTGTAGGTCCTACTTGGAGGTTCAGGGGTAGTTATAAGTAGGGTTATAAGTCCCCTAATATGGATTATAAGTGTAGTTACCCTACTTATAACCCCACGTATAACTACCCATGAACCTCCAAGGTAACCCCTGAACCGTAAACTCTGGTTATGTGGTTTGAGGCTGTATTCGAGTTTAGGGCTGGCGGGCATGGGGCGTATGAGTCAGGGTTTGAATTTTTGGGGGCTGCAGGGTCCCGAATAAACTGGTGCTTTTTTTGAGGGGGAGGTCACATGCCTTTTTTTGGACCCGAACAGGAGTCCTTGTTAAGGCTGTTAAGATGCTCTTTGTGAAAAGCCCCTGAGGTGGAGCAGGCTGTGGTCTGCCCTTTGCACGGCTACGCTGCGGTGGACGAGTGCCTTAGTTTGGTTTCTTTTGCGCACCCCTAAAACCCCAAAGAGTCAAAATATAAACTGTAAACTGCTACTTAAGTTCTGAACGTTTGCGTTTACACATCCTTGGGCATTGGCGAAAGAAGGTACTACGAGGCCGTGAGCCCTCACGCCTTTCTGGGTCAGATCGCCGTTCCGACGCTCATCTTGCACACGGAGGACGCCTCTGGTTACTATAGTGTATAATACTCGGGTTTAGGGTTCCTTTAAAGGGATCCATAGGGTACTATGGTGCAGTGTGGGTTTCGGGTTCCTTTAAAGGGATCCACAAGGTACTGTAGTGCATTGTGGGTTTAGGGTTCCTTTAACGGGATCTATAGTATCTATAGGGTACTATAGTGGCTGTTCTTGTTTGAATAGCACTGTGGGGTATAAAAGACAAAGATATACTAGGGCATTAGGGACAATAACTATAAGGTGATGAGGCCTTGGGTGTGGTAGATTGACATTAGAGGTCGGGACGATATGTAGGCCAATACTAGGTTTTGAAGGATATAGTACTCTAAGTCTTTATTCGGGGCTACAAGGAGCTATTACAAGGACGCTGTTCTCAGCATTCCACTGATGCCTCGACATCCAAGAAAAACCCCTGCGCCTCAAGGAGCGCCAAGGCTCCGGGTTTCGGGCTGGCTTGATATGGGGTTTAGGTTTCAAGAGCGTCCAGCCCGCCTTGGGTACCTGCACCCCTTAACATAGGGGCCTAAATAAGTACCAATACTATTTTGGGGGGTGTCCTTATTATAGCGATAGGTGAACATACCCCAACACCCTATTCTAAGTATTCAACGCTTTTTTCCAGCTCAAACACACCAAGCCCAAGATCCCTACACCCTACGCTCGTGATATGACCTTGTGCGCATTCAAGAAGCCTGAACAAGTAGCAATACTCTTCATTGTGGCTCCCTACTACAAATATAGTAAGATACGATTCTGATTCTGAAGGATCCTGTGCCCAAACCTTTGTTGTAGAGTCCCCCTTTTCAAGAACCCTTTCTATAGACCCCAATTGAAGAACCCCTTTACAGAAAGCCTTAGTAGACAGGACGATCCCTGGGTTCCTTTTGACTCTTCGGTCATCAAGCAGCTGCAGCCTCTTGGTTGGGTGAATGTAGGAGCCTTAAGAATCAGAATAGGGTGTTGGGGGCTCCTTACTATAATTATGGTATAGTATACCCGAAAAACCCTGTTCTGACTATTTAGGCCCCTAGAGTACCTAAAGGCTACTATACGAAACCCTCAACCCTAAACCGTGCGGGGTTACTATAAAGATAGCTGCCACGGTTCTCTAAGGGCTCGTTTTGGGGTCTTTTTCAGGGTTACATGGGCCCACAATAACAACGGTTGTTATATATGGGTTACTAGGAGGGTTCCTACAAGGATACCACTTAACGATCTAGACGGGGTTTAGGGGCTTTGGGGTTTGGGCCGGTGACGGTTTCTGGGCTCATGCGTGGTTTAAGTTCTTTAAAAGCAGCTTCTCAAGACAGTGGTTCCGTTTCGGGCTCCTCATAACAAGGCTCCTGCCATTCAGCACCTCTCTTGGGGTATCTTGCTGTGCGAATGGGTCTTGGTTTCAGGTTTGTCGTTCAGGGTTTGGGCAGATACAAATCTGTCTGCCTGTGCACGTATGTGTTTTATGTGTTTGTGTGTTCGAGCTTCCCCTTACTATCATGTAGCATGGCTCATGAAGTGCATGTCAACATGTATCATGTACTATGAGTTGTCAGTCAAAACATACCGGCCAACCTACGTCGGCGTCTACACGCTTCGTGTATTCATGTGGGTATATCGGAGAATACATATATATATATATATGTGTGTGTGTGTGTGTTTATTATATATACAGATAGATATAGATATAGATATAGATATAGATATAGATATAGATATAGATATACATATATATATATAGATACTGCTCATATAAAATGTACCTACACCAGCTAGCCTTGTGTATTTTTTTCCCTTCAGCACTCGTTTGCTGGTCCATAGGCAGGCTTCTCTAAACCGGGGAACCTCGAGTCCCACCGCCACTCGCATCATCAACAGCCTCCAGGGGGGGACCACGTCCAATTTCATATGGGTAGTTATCTAAAATTAGGGGCCCTTTGGGGTCCTTTTTTATAAGGGTGCCGTACTATAGTAGGGACCTAAAAAGGGGAAACTCTGAGCCCTAAGCCATGAATCCTGCAAATTTTCGGCTCTATCTTGCCAAGCCCCGCTCCAAACCCTGAATGGGAGGGGCCCTTTTGATTGTTTTCCGTCCGTAGGTGGTGGTGGTTCGCACACCCACTTCACAGGAGAGGACAACCAAAGCTGAAACTGAAGCCAAATCGATAGTCAGACTAACAGTAACGCTTACCTCTGGCATTGTGGGTTGAGTTCTCTGCCGCTGCTGTTGATGGTGGTGACGATGATGATGGTGGTGATGTTGATGGCTGAAGGCGAGGCTGAAACACTCTCATTTCGAAGAGTGCCAACCTATGTAATTGCGTCTTGGAAGCCATGTCAGTTTGAATTGAAAGGAATGACGGGTTTATGGTTGATCATGCTGAGGCCACAGCAATTGGAGAATGTCCTTACTTGGTGGTTCTCCTTTTGTTGTTGCAGCTGCTGGTCAGCCTCGGTGTCAGGGCAACGTGGTCGCGGCATTGGGGTAAACTGTTTCTTGTGGTCGCTCAAGGTGTCCATTCCGCTGTGGAAGAAGACACCGAGACACTTTGCCGTGGCCCCACCAGGCACACGTGAGCAAAGGCATGGTGACCCGCCAGTTCAACACCGCGTCTTGCAAGGTGCAGCTGACAAAACAGCGCTATCTGCATCTATGGCTACAATCCCCCTGCAGACCGCAAAAACCCCAAGGCCGTTGAAGTCCAACGAATCCTCCAAGAGGGGTCCACCAAAAGTGGCACCCCAAGGTCAAGGAGCTGTTGACGAAGCGGCAACGCACGGGTCAGAGGACTACCGCCGTCTGGTTTTCGCAGATGCCCACTGACGCCGCCGTGGATGTCCAAGGCGTCCAGAGAACCTCTGGCTCGGTGGCCCTGAAACAGACGTGTCCAAACCCTACTTCAACCGTTGCATGCCGCTCCTTTTCCTCACTATTTTATCAACCCCCCGAGTGCTAAGCCCTAACGATGAAAGTCCTAGATCTCGTCTGATCATGACATTCAGGAACCCTCTCCTTTTCGCGGCTGCCTCTCAGCGCGGAGGCTGGAGCGGCTGCAGTGTTTGTAGTTTCGGCTTTGGTCTTGGGGGGTTCACAAAACTTGTGGCAGGCTTGGAGCTCATGCCTTTCGTCTTGAAATCGCTCACCCCTGAAAGTTTTCAAGAAAGCTTCCGGGTTCCAGGGGTCCAAGTACTTGACTAGCACGGTTCCAGGTGCCAGAAACCAAACTTTCACCCCGTGTCATAACAGCCCTGGAATCAAGCCCCTGGGGACAGGCCACCTCGGCTGGCGAAGCACCGACGCAGGTGGGAGCTTCCTAGACCGGGGAACCAGTGGCATTTTTTGGTTTCACAGAGTTCCAGGGTACACACACCCAGTCAAGTTGAGGTGGTAAAAACCGTCAGGCTGACTGCCCTAAGGGTGGCGGGTTGACAATTGCGCTGGACAGCCGGTGTAAATCTTGCATAAAGCAGATAGTGGATGCACAACGAGTATTACCGGTGGCAACGCCTCGTGTGAACCGAGGACGGGGTGGTCTAGGAGGGGGTTTGGGGGTTGTAGAGGGCGATAACGTTCACACGGATTGTAGACAGTTTCGCTAAGTTTCGAGATGAAGATTGAATACAGCTGCTTCAGTTGAAGTTCAGGGATTGAGGATTGGGGTGAGTCTTTCAGCTTGACCGTGCCCCTGCACTACCAATACCACGGCAAGGCCCGTAAATCCAGAAGTCCTGAAGAAGTTTCCGCATGTCCGACCAGCTAAGGCCTAGCCCTATCATATTCATTTTCATCCTTCCAGCGAGTTGCCGGAAGGAAAGTCCCAAAAACTGCTTTGCAGGCTGAAGGTGTGTTTCCCGACAGCCCGGGTTGATTTTCGTTGGTAGATACGACCCCTCACATGGATGTTTGTTGCCGTTGCCCGTTTTCCCAACAGAGTAATACTCTCAAGCCCAAGGGCTCTGCCACCAAACGCCACATCACATGGCTTGCGGGCCTTTGAGGATCGGTTTTACGAGACTGAATACCTTAAGGAAGTAATAATTACTATCATCATTATTATTACTGTGATTAGTGTTACCATTAATATTAGTATCATTATAAGGAATATATTTTTATTATATTTTCTGGAACCCCAGACCGGTCTTCCTGGGTTCCCAGCTTTTCAAACCGTCGGATCTCTGCCTTGGGAACCTTCCTTGAGGCTTTTTAAGCCGTTAGGATCCTGCAACCCTGGTTGCTTGACATCTCCATTTGCGAACATTACGGGCGCATGTTCTGTAATAGATCCTCGTATATTCGAGTATTTAAGTGTTTCTCGGGTTCGTTTCTGCAAAGCATCTGGCAGCGCCTGCACCCTGACACACACAATTACAATGATTCACTAGAACCACAAAAATCTCTGGGGCTCGAAATCTTGCGCCCCGAAAAGCCTCAAAATAGAAGTCCTTAAAACTTCAGGCAACTGGGCTCTTGTTAGGGGATTAACCATAGCCATATCATTTACTGTACATCCCTATTATGGCAACTTAAATAAAATCCCTTAGCAAGAACCTAGGCAAGGGTACCTGGGCCGATTCCATGGCAGCGCAGTTCATCAAGGCTGCTGCCAGCCAGTGGTGAGCAGTGCAAGGCGCCAGTGCTCGCACGTCAAAGAATCTTCCGCGCAAACTAGAAAGGGATCCTTGCTGTGCCTGATTAGGGGTTTGGGTTTAGGGTTTGGGGGTTTAGGAGCTTAGGGTTTAGGGGTTTACGGTTTAGACATGTTGCTGATACTTGATTCGGAGGTCTTGGGCTCTTTCGGTCTTCCGAAGCTGGTATTGAGTCCTGGATAGCCCTAAACCTTCTAGGCTTTCTGTTTTGGCAGTGTAGGGCTTGCAGGGTCCCGGTGGGGTTCCGTACGTCTGCATGTAGAGCCCGGCCGGGCAAGGGCAGGGCACAGGGCAGAAGGCATCGGGGGTACGCCAAGCTCAACCTAGCCGGATGGAACTGGAAAGTGCGCATCTTTTGTTGGGCGGATTCACATTTTGTGCGCACAGGACCCGAGCCATATTTCCGATCAGGTTTTTCTTCACGTTTCCAACCCACCCCACTCTCCTCTGGATTTCCAGCCCCGCAGCCTGGAAATGGTCTGGATCTGGTTGTCTTGGAGAGCCCTAGGAAAAATAACGAAGAAATTAGAAAAAACATGAGGATCAAAAATAGAAAGAGAGAACACACATGTAAATTTAATGTGGAAAATTATGAAAATGTGAGAAAAAAAGAAGTGGAGGTTAGAGAAACGGGTAACTGCAGAGTGGAAAATCGAGGAAAGATGCGAAACAATACCAGACTTGCATGGAGATGACCCCGGGACTTTGTGAGGAGCGGTGCGCACACAAGCCACGAAACGATTCCGGCCCCCTTGCGCCCCTGCCCCCCACGTGGCCCTAGCCTTAGGATCGGTGGGCCGCCGGTGGCTTTGCTCGGGGGTGCCATATTAGGGTCCCTTATAATAAGGATCCTAGCATTTAGGGTACCTTATTTTGGGGTCCTTAGAATACGCATCCTAGTAATTCTGGGATGGTTGGCGGGCCTCTGTGCAAGAGGAATACATACAGTGCGTCGTACATACTTGGCTGTCCAGTGATTCGCTCCTCCCTCTCGGCATAACAGTATAAGGCACGCTGCAGAGGAATCAAGCGTCAAGTTTTCTTCTAAACCGAACCACACTTTCTTTTTGCATCAGAAACCAAAACCCGACCTCTTTTCATATTGTTAAGCCCCAACCACAGTTTCCTCCATACTCTGTTTCATACCTTTCAGACCTAACCGCAGTTAACTTCATAAAGTTCCTCTGAAAATTACTTACTTAGGGAGAAGGCCCTATGCAGAGGACGGTGGTTACTTATAGAACTGAACATAGTACTATAGGGGCCTTAATAATTCGAACAGGGTTTGGGGGGGCTAGGTATACTATAATTATAATGTTGGATTATTATTATTATTAAGCATAATAAGGGTATGTGTTGGATTGGACCGGCCCGAAGTCTCCAGAAGATTCCAAGTGAAGCGCTGGCGAATGGGATTTAGGTCACATTTACTTGGGCCCCAGAAGCAACCTACCCTTTCCGCAAGGAACTCATAAGGAACCCGAAAAAATAAACGCTAGGTAACAGGCGCTACAGCCACAACATCACACGCCCGTGCATGTTAATGCTCGAAGTCCTGATGTTTCATCTCTCAAACACCGTGTCTTTCAAACTGCGGGGCTTTTCCGAGTTCGCCCGTCAGGCGCATTGGCAGCCGAGCTCATGATTAAGTGCTCCGTCTGATTGGGAGCATCTCGAAGACTTGGATGGGGCTTGCCCGTTCAGTGTCGAATCGCTGTTCGGACTGTGAGCGACATGCTCCGAGACAGCGGCTTCGTGGGAAGGTCTCAGAATCCGAACTTCATGGTCTGTCTCGGATTCTCTTCTCAACTCGAGGGGGCTATGAGCTGTACCGTGGGTTTCGGCTTCATGGCGGTGAGGGGACTCCCCGGGTATGCCCCCATTACAGCATCCAAGGCCTGGACCCTTGATTTTGAGGCGTTCCCACGTGTTAATGGCAGACGGGTATCAGTTACCTGGCGCTTTGTGTGCAAGGATGAGGAGGTTGCTTCGAATTCGGGTGTTGAAAGGGCTCAAAGATGCGCAAGCTTCGAGGTTCAGAGTCGCGGGAACCCGAATATGAAGCGATTCCTGTGCTCTTGACGTGAAGAGTTTGAGAGTGAGTGACGAGGCGTTTTGCCTCCTGCATCCAGTCACCTGAAGGGGGACTGGATAGCAAGTAGTAGGTAGGGCTTGATTTCCAAGAAGATGCTCCTCCTAAACACAAGGAGCCGTAGATGGGAATAGATCTCGATTCAAAGTGAGGAGACATTTTCCAAGAGCGGTCGAGCAACATCAGAGCCCCGCAAAATGGTGGTGCTTTGCAGCTTTCTTCGCTGACTGTGTTCGTGTGTGACACAGAGGGGAAGTCAAAAACTAAAGCACATTCTAGACCCCCAGACGCAAGGGCCTGAATCCCCCTATTGGCTAACCCTAAACACAAGCTGCCCTTAGACTGGGCGGTTGCCTTAGCACAGAGTGCACATGAACTACCGTAATCACACAGCTGATGGAATGCTTGAATGGTCATGCTGGTGGGATGAGGTATCCATTCCGTGACCTAGCCACCGCCAGCAGCATCAACGACAACACAATCTTCTCTATCGTGTGATCATTGTCACCAAAAAACCCATCCTCGCAGCTAAAAGGTACCTGGATGCACGTAGCTTCCAAAACGGAAATGTGGGCCATGTTGAAGGGAGGTATTGGCACGCTTTAGCATTGCGACGGCACTTTTGGGTCCGTACCACATGTTCTGCTGTTTTGAGGGTTCTGCCCTAGACTTATGCTTGTGTTGAATGTCTTCACACGAGCGCTGCAACCCCGATTCAGCGTTTCAAATCAACTTTAGCTTTACGTAGCCAAGACCCAAATCAGCCCAGGCCAAATGTCTAAGCCCATCAAGAATACCCGGCAGACCTGCACAATCTTGCAAATTCGTAGCTTCGTGGCAATGTCGCTTGCGAGTGTCTTGTCATGCCGCTTGGCGCTCTTTTTTCAGCCTGTCCCGGTTGTTGTGGTGGCGCTGACTTGATAGGTGCGTTGAATGCGGCAGTCGCTGATGCAATTGGCATAGGTCTGTAACAGCAAGCATTCTTGAGCCTTTGGTTTTCGCGTAGAGAGGCGCATGGACTCTTCGCTGAGGCTTCCCATGGCGCCGCTTCGCGGCAGCTGATGAGCCATCCCACCAGATGGAGGCATGCGGAGTAAGTCTCTGACATGTGTTTCGCCTCGCGCAACCATGAGCTCTCCGCGCCTTTCCCTGGATATGGTTATCCCGGTGTAGTATCAATCAACGCAGGAAACCATGATCCGGATGAGACCACTTGCACGAACATGCGTGCTGGCTGATGATTCGCAGCAGCACTGCCTCTGCGATGCTGGTCGCCAGCCGGAAGGAAGACGAGGCCATTCCCAAATGAAGCTGAGTGCGAACATTCTTGGCCAGCTAGCCGCCCCTTTCACAGCTTCCACGGCATGGGTAGAGTTCTGCTTAGCGAGCTGGTGGCAAAGTCGTTTGCGCCTGTGCAGATTCGTGAGCAAGCGGCAGCTGCCACTGCTGTCACAAGCAGGCGCAGCAGCGAATGCAACATGAGTAGCCCACGGTTTTCTTCGGTCAGTCTGTGCTCACAGAAACACCTAGACGGAAACATGCGTGGCCAAGCACTTGGTTAGGAGCTCCGACACGGGCCCAGAGCAATCAGAGCTGGACCGTCTCTTCCCGGAGCGTCTGGACAGCAAGCAAGACCAGCAAGCTGCACAGTCTCAGTTTAGCAGCTGCATTGCTACACTGAGGTTGCTGCACAATCTGGCACACTTTGCAGAGTCTTGGCTCGCAAGAATGACTTTTACGCTGTATGATTTCGTGTGGTTTCGCATCGTGTCTTGAGGATCTGCCTTGTTTTGCCAAGGGAAGTGACGGCCTGAAGCTCCGTGCTACCTGTCGGGCTGCATCCAGCATATCGACCAAGGCGGCAGATGCAGAGCGCTGACCGTTGAGCGGCCGCACGTCTTTGCTTTGACCAGGCGTACAAGGTCAGAGGCGACATCAAGAGGCTGGTGCGGCGTTGGGGATGGGGTTGGTCCTGCGTGATGTCTGCCGGCAGGCACAAGCTCGCGTTCCGCGAAGTGAGGTATGTGTCCGGGATGTACTCCGGAGAGCTTCCGAAGGCCACCGGCCGCCGGTACGAAGTTTCACCAAGCTTTTTTCCCAGAAATGCGAGCGAGTTCTTTTCAGGCTTGCAGCAAGACTTGCAGCAGTTGTTTCACAGTTGCTGCTGCAGCTCCAGCAGCGTTTGCGTGAAGGACGAGATCCAGTGCTAATTGGCCGAACTCGGTGAGAATTCTTCAGGATCTTTCCCGATTTGCAGAGCTTGGATGTCTCGAGGTCTAGATATCTTAAACCCTCAACCCTCGTGCGCTTAACCCTTCTTAACATCATCAAAGCACAGTACGGCCGATAATGCCAGGCTTCGCACCATGGACTCTTTGAAGCAGCTCTATAACCTCGCCATGGATGCGCCATGCACCCGGCATCCCCCCATGGGTTTAGGTTTTGCATGGGCTGTCTTACGGATAGTAATCTTCGGGTTCTTGTGTCGGGCTTTATGGACTCATGAAGGCTCTGGGACCAGCCAGCCTTCATAGCCACATCCATGGGTGAACTACCCATCCTCTTCAAGTCACGATTTTGGGACTTTCGGACCGCCTTGAGCTTTCTAGGGAACTCCTTACCAGCCCGGGAGAAAAACCTTGAAATCCTGAGCCCCCAAAGGCTCTCCAAAAGTAAGAACTTCGAGGCCATAGATTAAAGCGCCCTCTACGACTACCCCCTAGAATTCATTATTCTCGCGATTTAGGCCCCAAAATGCATCCCCTCCTTCCCTCATAGAGACCCCCCAAGGAACGTTCGGGGGGTTCACGGTTTGGGCGTTAGGGTTTTCAGGTTTTTAGAGTTTAGGGTTATTAAAGTTGAGGGTTTTGGAGTTTAGG